TGGACTCCGGCGGGAACCCCTGATCCAACATGGGCTACCAACCAACCAACGTGTGTAATACATCAGCCCATCTGCGCTGTGTGGGTGAGAGAAGTTAAAAATTTCGTTTCCAAATAAAAATATACGGTGGAATACGTCCCCAATGCACTCTCTTCAAACAAAAAACTACAGTCCGCAAAGATGACGATGTAAGGAATCATTTCTGAAGCTTTACGCAGTAACTCGTTTTGCTTCCAAAACGTTTAAATAGTACAAACGATTTCTGCATTGTGTACTTTGAGGAACGCACGCCGATACAAAGCCTCCTTGTTAGTTTTCCTAAAGATGGAGGCCTCTGAAGCACCAGTCTGTCAGACTATCGGTCCACTGCACGTATTTTTCCGACAGGAAAGTTGCTAATATGGCAAAAGTTTTACCCGTTTACACACGGGAAATAATGAGTCCATCGATTCCACGACCAGCATACGTTATTATGCTAGACATTTTCCGCTACACTCATTCTTGGATGTAGAACTGCGTGGTTTCTTGGAGCCTCCGTCTTTCATTATTTGTGCCGTGTATTTCGGGTAATCGCGCAGCCGCACACTGGTCAGCACTTGTATTGGTAACATTCTCACCAGCAGTCAGAATGAAAAATAGTTATAATAACTCCATTTGCTGAGCATTAAAACGCGATCTTACCTCGAAACACTCGCGCCGTTGAGCCTCTTCCAACATTTCTGCTAAGATGGGCAGAAGTACTGGAAAGATCCTAGTCTTCACATATTCAGCTGGTGGCAACTGGGCATCTTCTGAAAATGAATTATTAAAATGTTTTCTGTAAATTATTTTGCTGATTTTTAATACGCAAACTTATCACTAATAGCAATTTATTTACCTGCATCATACTGTTTCACTTCTACAACCTTTGCAGCTTTCAGTTCAGAAACATTGACAGTTGAAATCTCCTCTGTTGATTGTGCATCATCATTCTCCTTAGACTGGCACATTTTTATGATGTTCTTCAGTGGAATAAAACTTATTGAGGGTTTTTCGTTTGAATTATTCCATTCTGGTAGATATTTCATTTGAATAATTTTTGCGCTTTCCGGATTTGCATCTGAAAAATATTTCTAAACGAAGTGGCTGCAATTTAACATCTTCCTGGCTGTTAGTTAAAAACATTCGATTGTCGAATTCACTGTAAACAGGAAGGAGGGTACACACGCCTAATCCATTAGTTGACTATTGGTACAATCTTTTTTAAGAAACCACATCGCATGATGTATAATATAACTCTCCTTTCAGAAAAACTGCATTTAAATACCAGTGAAAAAGCATACTCATTTAATAAAGCAAACTTATAAGGAAAGGAAGCTTGAAGTTTAACGTTTTTTTACTTTGAGTCTGAAATTCCATCGTATTTCCAAAAATATACAACGCAGCATAATAATTTTTAATTTTGATAAATCTTTTGTTGTTTTCTAATCTTCTGGCTATATCTGATTGTCTAGCCATAGCAACGTTTTTTCATAGATGGTAGATGAGGCGTTCCTCTTTAAAAAGATGTTTGTTAAGAATTCATAAGTTCTTCAGTATAATGTACCCAATTAGGTAAACTATGTCATGAGGTTGCATGAAATTTTGACCGAACACCTTTGCTTTATCATTCCTCTACATATGGCTGGTGTCTGCGGGTGTGGGTGACATTGTCCGCCTCGATCGCTTTAAGATCTTTAAGCGATTTTAGTGCAAAGGCGAGAAGTGTGAGACTTCTTATAATTTTAAAAGCATAAAATATATAAACAATACGGCATCTTTATCAAGAATGGCATGTTGAAGAGGATTGCATGCCCAATATATGCATGGAAGAAAACTTTGAAATAAATATGTGAATGTCACTTTTCATAGTAGAATAAAATCGTTGCTCACTTTTTCCATTAAGTTATGCAGCCTAGATTCACAACGAACGTTGCAGTTTTATGACAGATGTTTTTGATATTTTACAATCAGCTTCTGTTTGACGAAAATGGAAATTACTATTTTCGTGCGCAAAACTCCATTTTGAAATTGGGCTGGCGGTAGACTCAGAAGTTAATATGGCAGTGAAGCAGTAAAACACATCTCGGTAGGACTCCTTTCTGTATGATGGGTATAAAGCCAGTTTATTTTTGAACATAAATCAAGCACGTCGGACTTAATAGAATGAGCTCAATATATATGATATATTTTACTGGTTCATGGAAAAGATTTGAATTAGCATTCAATTCTTCTTTCCTTAGATTTTATTTTGACAGAAAGAGGACTGGCTTTCTTGAAAACCCCCATTCGCACGATATATCGCATAGCACTTTTCGGAAATCTGGTTTGCATACTACGAATATTTATTATATTAAAAATGTCATGACAAATTATGTACAAATATATAATTCTGGCTCGTTTTCCTGGGGGATATTATTTCCCACCCGACGGGCCGGGTTCGGGTTCTGACTCTGGAATTTGAAAAGATAAGTAGATTGCGGTGTGCAAAGGAGAATATAAATGACTATGCAATTATTTGTGTTGACGTACCTGTAAAAGGCCTGTCAGCTGCCCCCTGTAAGTTCCGCTTAATTTTGCGGTCATATATCGTTTGGAGACTGTTTTTACGGTGTCTTTTAAGCCTCGGCTGTCCACTGAAGGGGATCCGTGAGTAATTCTCTAAGCTTCTGGTGGATGATTAGTTAAATGGTAAATTATTGTTAATTAAGATGTACGACATTGTATGCTTCGATGCCAAAGAAGGACTATTTTCCTTGGTGTCGTCCGTACAGCGTCACGTCTTCTGTGATGCTGTTGGTTAACAGGGTGTGGTAGAGCCGTTTGACGTAGTCAAACACATTGCCTGCCTCGATGGAGGCAAAGAAGGCAGTTAATAACCTTTGTTTATAGTACGGGGTCACTTAACACTGTGTAATGGTAGTCCGTATCGGACAACGCCTGATTAAAGTCGGTTAAAGCTGGCCATGTTGTCAGTTTTGGGAACAGCTGACGCTGACTAGGTGCAGACGCCTCAGTCGGGGCCTCTACGTACCCAGCGATGCTTTGCTCCAACATCCTTTCAATGCGGAGCTGGCGATCCTTTTGCATTTCCGCATAGCGAACCTGATCGACTAACGTTTTCACTATCCATTTCAGACAATTCCTTGCTGGTCAAACTAGCAGAAGGCCAATATCCATAAACTTCGCAGTCTCTCAATCATTCATAGTAAACACGAAATGGATAGATTAAAAATGCACTCCCATAGACGCTGCCTTATCCATATCAGCATCACCTGAGGCAGCTCGATCACACTCGGCGCACCAGTAATCGATATGCTTTTTTATTTCTTTCTCTGGCACGTACAGTTAGATACCGCCAGTTGTTTTCTAATAAATGCCACAGCAATCTAGAATAAGCTACCAAGAAGTATCAAAGCTCAGAAAAACTACACTTTGTTTAAGATAGCTATCAAAATTTTCCTGCATTATAATAAATTCAGGACACCTTCCATGAATACTGGGTGCTGACTTTGTTGAAGCTCTTTTCCGCTCTGATGGTGTTCGCAGACTCTGAACACTATATTTAGCCTCATGCTGAGAGCATGAGAGCATGACAGCGGGCACACCTTCCCCTGGTGCAGAATACCGGTTCCATAACTCAGCCACAGCGTGCACCTGTGCGAACAACTCATCCTCCCAAACTTAATTAATTTAACCAGCTGCAGGTTTTTCTCCCGAAAAACACTGGAGAAAATGATGAAGAGTTTTCTTCGCTGGCAGCTCGATCCTCTACTGTAAATCCCCTTGGATCTTGCCTATAAACTGGCAACAAATAAATAAATTTAAAAAATGTATCATAGACACCAAGTTGTGTAGATTATAAACGAACTT